ACAAACAAAACTTGAAAAACTTGAACAAAAACAGAAAAAATATTATACACTTGACAAGAAAAAATTATGTATTTTCCAGATTATCATCACATATATGAACTAATTAAACAGAAAAATCACAAGAATTATTATTAACTTCGACCCAAAACTCCAATTAAATGTTTCCTCAAGAACATAATTGTAGGACTTAATTTGATAGTTTTATAACATTCAGGTCCCGAATTGAAAAAAAAATCTTTCAAGTCCCGAATTGATAGTTTACATATCTTTCGGGCCTTGTATTGAAAAAAACCCTATATATAATGATCCTTTTATTCTAATCTAAACAAGGAAAAATAATACATAGCAGCCATATATATAATATATCAATAATCTCTTCTAAAGGCTTTTGTCACGCTAGCTATGACCTACTAAACTCGAACTCCGGCCCTCACATTATGCTCGAAAAACTTGCTTTTCTTAGTCGGATGATCACGATGAACATCGAAGCATTCTTCTTCTCGTCTTTTCCGACTGTCGACCGGAAGTTTATTCGGAAGGGCTAAGGATGTCAGCTTCTTCATCATCACCTAATCAAAGGAGCTAATTTCTTGGATGACACTTATAGAGAGATCATCACAAGTGTTATTCATCTTTTCTTCTTCTTTTAATTTTACGAGGGTTTTTTTGGCAAGAGTTGCTGATAATTGATATGGTGAGAATGAGACGGAGCTTTTTTTTTTCCGTGCATGTTTTTAACTATTTATAGAGTAGAAAGTTTGGTTTTTTTTCCCTTTTAGGAATAGGATTCGATTCAAATTGTTGTGCGTGTAACTTGTAAGCGTGTTATTAATTACTTTGCATGCAAGTTTTTGACTTTTGAGGCGGTTTCCTTTTTGTCCTTTTGAGAATGGGCCAACAGGGATTGCAAATACTGGGCCCTGCATGTATTCTATTGGGTCTTTCGAGTGGGCTGATTTTATAAAATTTGGGCCCTGTATGTATTCTATTGGGTCTTTAGAGTGGGCTGATTTTATAAAATTATACATAAATTATTGATAGAAAAATACAATCTAGATATCAATGATAAATTCCTAAATGTGTAAGTAAAAAGAGTTTTATTGGTGGGTAATTTTCTAATTTTTTTCTTTAAGGATGAGGCTTGTAATAAGTGGGCTCGACAGCGAGAGAGGTTTCGGTTAAATGGGTGTGTCCACAAGTTTTGAAAACCATTTTTGTAGCAACTGTCGATTTGAGAAGTTTTGGTTATCTTGAATAAAAACAGCCTAACTAATTAATAGTTTCGATTCTAAAATAAGTTGCTTGAAACTAATTTCTATTTTGAATTGACTTCTCTCTTTCTCTTTTGTAATTCAAATTTGAAACTGCCATTCATGATGATCTTGACAATTCACAAATTTAAAAATTTCAAAAGTTCATATAGTGAATTATTACTCAGCAAAAATAGAACAAACGATTCAAATAGTATATACACACTCAAAGAATGTGATCCAAAATGTTGACAACGGATCAAAATTTGAATTCA